AAAGAATGTGAAAACCTTTTTGGTTCAAAGGGTGTTAATCAGTTGATGTGCGTACGTACGTGTGTTGTGGTTTGTTCATCCATTTCCCATTGGAAAACGTGTTTTCCTGCGAGAAAATTACATGTTGACATGTAAGCAGAAAAGGTAAAAAGAGACTACGAAAAATTATCGCAGAGGATTTAATTTCTCTGGCATCAACAATTAAACATTGAAGGAAAATAAATCGAAATAAGTAAAAATAAAAAAAAAAAAATGCATACAAATACGAAGTTATCTCCCTTTCTTTTGTTTTCGGCGTCAAAACTGTAATTAATATTTTGATCATTTTTTTTATCTGAAGACACGGTTTTACAGCCTTTTATTCACAATTATGTGTCTGAATAGAATTGGAATTCCCAAATTCAAGTAAAAATTAAGAAGAAACAAACATAGTAAAACTAAGCAAAAAAAAAAAAAAAGAAGAGAAATATAATATGAAAGAAAAAAATTTGTTTATTTGACAGAAACATAAAATATCGGCGCCTCGTTTTACCCCATTTTTTATCCTTTTTGCGACAAAACTCATAATTATTTTATATTTTAGTAATCCGTTCGGAATTGAAGGCAGACGACAATTTTATGTATCCTGTCTTTATTTTGTGTAGATTTGTGTTAACGACGAAGGATTCATCTCTGAAAGTTAATTGTGGCACGCTACACTCAGGAGATTTTAAAAATAATGTTACTCACGTGAGTGTGAGCAGAGCTTGTAATTAATTTGATAATTGTCTGACTAGGCAAATTTTATCAGTTCGTCAAAAGTTAATGAAGAAAATAGTGTAAATGTCTCGAGGTAATTTTTGTACGTCAAAAGTAATTTAGGAAAAACGTACAAATGACCTGACTTGATAATGGTCAAAAAGTTGCGACCGATTTTTCATTTACTAGAAAGACGTGCATTTGAAACGTGAGCCACTATCATATGCAATTTGAAGTAGAAATATCTTGCGTTAAAATCAGGACATTAATATCATAATTGTTTTCCTGGCTAGCCAATAATAAATAATAAAGAAATAATCATAATATCTGGCGAGATGGACGACGCAAATATAAAAATAGGTAAAATATTAAAGATTTATTTAGAATTTTTTTTACTGGTTAGCAGCATTTGCATATTTTTAAAGCTAGACATTATATTTAGATTGTAAGAATTTTTAGAGATAATAAAAATTTACTGATACAAGCCCTACTATTTAACCCATAGCTGGGGAGAGGAAATAAATTTTTCTCAAGGGTATTTCCACGTAAGTGAATATAACTAACTCGACTGACATAGGAACTCGGCTCTCCGATTTTAAATTCTGAGCCGTTTTCCATTTCACCAGCCGCACATCCATCCATAATATTTGTAATTTATTCCGAAGGTACAGGTGTTTTTTTTTTGTTTTTTTTTTTAACCAGAACCACTGTTATGGTCGTAAACTATTTAAACTAAAATGAAATAATTATTAATCAGTTTAGTTGATTTATATTTTATGAAATGCCAATCACAAAGTTCGATATCAAATTTAGAGTTAGTTAATAAATAAAATCACAACAAATCACTGATATAAGCATAGAATTGGGAGCCAATTTAGGTTAAATACTTGGTGATTATTTTTAATGCACGTTTCCTTCTTTATTCGGATTGATTTCTTCCAATAAGTAAATGATACCGTCTAGCAACGATTCTAGTTCATCTGAGGGCAAAAAGACATTTTTTTATCTAAATGAGAAATCCACGGATTTTCAGGTCAGACTGATCAATATAAGCAGACATTTTTATATGCAGTGACTACGCTTTGTTTAGTCTAGTAACGAGACACAAAACTGAGACATAGAATAAAAACTGAACCCATTACACTATCAGATTGATCTGCAAGACGAGCATACTAAAAAGACGTTCAAATGGAGGGTGGCCAACAGAAATATGGAGAGGTATTTTGAGGTAAGGTGGTATTGTTACTATTTAATCACTAGCGTAATACCCATAAAAAATGCTGGATAATATTTATGCATGGATTAGCAGTTCTGTGAAGGTTAGTCCCCGTAAAATTTACCTGCGATCAAATTTTCCTCCCTCATTCACTAGTTAGAATCAGTACAGTAACTGAGATCGTGAAAAGTGTCATACACAAAGAATATATACATATATATATATATATATATATATATATATATATATATATATACTATAATAAAAAAAGAAAGAACAGTAAGATATATATATATATATATATATATATATATATATATATATATATATATATATATATGCTCAATGTAAATTTACAGAGCATAAATAAATTCCAAAATTCTCTTGAAGATGAAACGGAACTAATATTTGTAATTTAATTATATAATTAAATTTGAAGTTTTTTAGCTTCGGTTTTTGAAACATGGTAACTACTGTGTGAAGAAATCATATTCTAAATCAGTTAATATATACATATATATATATATATATATATATATATATATATATATATATATATATATATATATATGTATGTATGTGTGTGTGTGTGTTAATCAATTCATCCCAAGCAAGACAAAAATGTCACTAAGACCTAAGGGGCGAAAGAGAAGGAGGAAATGATTTTAAAAGAAACAGGAAAATCGATTCTAAACATGAAACAAGGGAGATAACGCTCTATTCCAGTTCAAAACTTCAAAAAGACCGAGCGGAGAGATGATAAAAATATAGAATTAACGTAATTTAAAGGAAATTGACATCCTCATCGAGTGGCAAGAGTCTATATCATGCTTAAACACAAGTTTAAGGCCATTCAAATGGGTATCGACTCATTAGGGGTATCCACTCAATGTATCCATTCAAAATAACGTTTAAAGTGATAAAAAATATGTCGGATAGATAAAAAAATCTATTATTTCTTTTGTATATATGTATATATATATATATATATATATATATATATATATATATGGAAAAGTGGAAAAGCTTATAAACGGCGGGTTTCGCTGACATCTGTTAGCTTGGGGTTGTTAAATTCGAAATGAAAATATAAACAATGTGTCTCAGGAAAATGCGCTGTAAATTTTCAGGATAAGAGGGCAATTTCGGATACTATTATACATCCTACAAAGATACGCCCCCATACACACACACATCTGTAGATATGTATGCAGTGTGCGATAGATAAATTGTCGTCTAAATGATGCGAAAATGAAATCACACCGACATATCATTTTAACATTTGTATTTACCAAAATTACAAAAATATCTTGAAATACTAAAGGGAAGAATTATTGAATAAAATCGCCATTGGCTTCAACCACGGCCTCTAGACGACTTTGGAATCTCCTGCAACGCTTCTGGGCAGTTTCCTTAATTATGTTGGTGAATGCTGCCATAATCCTTGCCTTCAGTTCATCATCGGTGCTAAAAAGAATGTTGTTGGTCTCTCGCTCAACTGTGCCCCACACATAATAATCAAGTGGGTTGCAGTCTGGGGAGTTAGGTGAGCAGATGTAACGGGTGATGTCGTCGTAGAAATTGTCTAACAGCCATGACTGGATTTTCGTGCTTGTGTCTGATGGTGCATAGTCCTGTTGCCAGACATAGGATCTTCCATCGGTTAGTCTCTTGAACCAGGGCAGCACTACCTCCTCAATTCACTTGATACAGACCTCTGTGTTGGGTCTGGGGCCCTTACCAACAAATTCGTGAGTTCCTTTCTTATCAGAAAGATCAGAGGGAGTTGTTCGAGCTGCCCTACTTTCGTAATGACATTTCCGGAACCTCTGGATTGTCCACAGATGGACACCCAAAATATTCTGAAATGTTTTTATTTGAGTTTCCGACGCGAATGCCAAGCAGAACAACATGTTGTTTAGGACTTTCAGGCAGAGGGAATTGCGTTATGGTGGTCATTTTTTCTCACAGACGGGGCCCAACTGACCCTACTATACTGTGTAGTCGTAAAATCAATAACAAACAACGCGTAAGCGCGAAATTAAAAAAAATAAAATTGCAACAATTTTCCCATCGATATATATATATATATATATATATATATATATATATATATTAGGAAATGCATATATCTTTATTTGTTTAAACGTTATTTTTAATGAAATGTCATATCTGAGTCGATCCTCTGTTTGTATTTATTTTTTTAAACAGTATATTTATTTATTGACATCTACCGTCCTGAATATTTCAGGCTCATATGTTTCTCGAATATTCAGGCACGTGGATGTAAAAGAAATAAATATAGTGTTTAAGAAATAAATACAAACAGGAATTCTACTCAAATAAATTATATATATATATATATATATATATATATATATATATATATATATATATATATAAGTGAACATTGAAGTCAACACTTAGAGGCGACAGGCTGTTTCATGCTAGACGCAATCGTCACTTTTATATTTACACCCGCTCTATCTCTGATATTGAGCACTTTATCTCATAAATATAGCACACCTTAAGACTATATTTCTTCATGTATATATATATATATATATATATATATACATACATATATATATATATGTGTGTGTGTGTGTGTATTATTCAAAATATTTTAAAATATCTTTTTAGCGTCTTCCTTTATATTATATATATATATATATATATATATATATATATATATATGCGCACACACACACACTATATATATATATATATATATATATATATATATATTATTCATAATAGTAAATGCATCGTTTTAGCGTTTTTCTTTAGTTGCCGAAAAAACGAATTAAAATTTTTTTATAAAATGAAATCACTTAATTCGATGATCGAGATGGTCGAATGAACATTAAAAAAATCAAGAAAATAAACATGAACTTCGTAAAGTTTATCCAAAGTTTCCTTTTTTTTTACATTATATTGCTTCAAAATCGGTAACTTGGGTATATTCCCGAGAGGAGAGTGCTCAATATATAAAGTATGCAGACATAGGAATCAACAGGGCATAGTGACTCAATTTCATGACTCAATGTCGGGATCTGAAGTTACTATCTATCTATCTATCTATCTATCTATCTATCTCTTTCCATTATACAACTATCTCTCTCTCTCACTCTCTCTCTCTCTCATGCAATTCATATCACTCTGTCTCTCATTCCATTTATATTTTTGTTGCTACCAATTTTTTAATAATTTTTTCTTCTATTTTTTGTTACTTGAAGTGAATTTAGTCTACGCCCTTTTTAAAATCATTATTTGAATATTAGTTCTTCGAAATATTTTTCTGCTGACTCAAGCAAATAATGGCATGAGAATTTCCCGGCTCACAGACGAAGAATGTTTGTCTTCAACAAGAAGTGCATGTTGGCACTTAAACTAAGTAGAATCTTTATATTTCGGTTTCAACTCTGAGTGCCATGCACTTTGTTCATGGACTTCTTTTATGCTGCTCTTTTGTCTTTTTTTTGTTGATTTGTTTTCTTTTTTTCTTTTTTTTATGTGTGTGTGTGTGTGTAATAAGAGTAGATAGGCTTTCCTATCGCCCGGTCAATACTCCCCACCACTTCTCTTGAACAGTGCCTAATCCCCTGTTTCCTGTTTAGGATGGGGTTCCCTGATCTTTTCCCTTTCCCTGACCTCTGTAGTAGTCTTGTGAAGTGTGCGGTCTGTGGCAACGTCTCTTCATACTCATTGTTCCGAGTTGACAGTTCTCTGGTTGCTGTTTCCGATTGGAGAGAGCCCGAACTCTTGCATGGCGTCTTGTGAGGCTGCTCTGATCAACAGTTGCATAATATCAGGATACTTGCAGTGCTATGTCGCGCATGGAAGGGTGTCTCTGCACGCCACCCTTAGGCCACATTATGTTAAAATCTGCGCCAGCTCCTTTCTCCATGTCACATACGATGGCCGTCTGCTACTATTACTTTAAACATTTTCATTACCAACATGACTCAACATGGACATAACCAATCAAAAAAAAAAAAAAAGCCTAAACCAGCCCTAATAAAATCACCTAAACCCTTCCTTATCCAACATAGTACCAATTTCAGCAGTGTGGAATCGTTCCTCGTTGAAAAGTCTCCTGATAAACTAACTGTCAGCAAAGTCAACCGTAACTCGTCAATCCCAATTGGTTTCTTAATTCCCGGTTACCTTCCTCTAAAATCTACATCCATGACCTGGGTGTATGTCCGGGATCATCGTCCGCTGGCTAGGGAATTCACTCTTGAATCTCCCGACCATCCATATATGCGTCTATCTCTCCTCAATTCTGTTAGCTGTCTCTTCTTTCTCTACCGTTGCCCTTTCTCTCAAGACTGTGGTGTACTCGATAGCATTTTCGATAAAATAGACAATGCTATCTCCCTACATCCGTTTGCACATATAGTCGTGTTCGGTGACTGTAACGCCCACCATACCACGTGGATTAAATACTTTGTAAGTGACCTCGATGGCATACAAACCTTTAACTTTATCAATCATTCAGTCCCTCACAAAAATGGTTGAATTTCCTACGACTTTCCCCAGTAACCCTGACGACTTCCTCTTCGATATCTTGTTTTATCTCCATCTCTAATCTTGTCGTACCACACAACTCTGACCTCTTGGCAAATCTGATCATGCTGTAGTGTCTGTTAACATCTTCTATTCCTCTCCTCAAAGAAACTTCTACTAACAGAATATATTTCGGTTATCAACGAGCAGACTGAGACTCGTTGGGTGACTTTCTTCGTGACGCTCCTGTAATGTGGTTTATAATCAGTCCGGTCAAAAATGTGCGCCTGAGGTCTCCTCCTGGGTAAAAGCCGGCATCCAAGTTTTCATTCTTGCAAGAAAATATAAAGTTAAATCGTGCTCATCTCCTTGGCTCTCAGTTGCTTGCTCAGCTGCTATAGCCCACAAGAATCACTTCTTCCCTCTGCACCGGAGCGACATGTCTTATTGCAACAGAAGTCTCTGTCCGTAATGAGTTCAAGCGTGCCCTCAATGAAGTAAAGTTACTATTTGCTGAAAGAACGAAACAACATATTGCATCTTGCAAGTTTAATTCTAAAGATTAGTGGCAGTTCTGCAAGAGCGTGCTGAACAACAGCAAATCAACAATACCTCCTCTATTTAATCAATTCGAAGTCCTGATTTCCCCAGCTCATAAGACTGAATGCTTTGCTCGGAAATTCTCATCCAACGCTCGACTCATCCTCAGTACCCACACCTGATTTCCCCCCTTAGAACTGAGCATCTATTGAGTGAGATGTGCATAACTCCATCAATAGTATTAGAAATCGTTTCTAAATTCGACTCCCATAAGGCTAGTGGTGGGGACGGGATACCAGCCGTAGTCCTGAATAAATACAGTTTTCGCATTGTCCGATCTACTGCTGACGTGCTCTCGACCATAACTGGATTTGTATACCAAGCACTTAATGGAGAAGTTCCAGCTGTGGCATTATATATCTCTGAGGCTTTTGACCGGGTTTGGCATGCCGGCTTTTTTCGTATGCTTCAGGGGTACGGTAATACAGGACGATTATTTGACTTAATACGACCATTCCTGTCAAACCGTGAAATGAAGGCCGTCCTAAACGGTTTCTCCTCCAGTTCCTTTCATACGAACGCTGGTGTTCCCCAGATTCTACCTTACACAGTTTCTGGTCTTCATCAACTAATCTTCATGATGCCATCAGTTCCCAAGTAGGCATCTACGCAAACGACACTACTATTTACTCCTGTCTCAATGGTAAATCCGGCATTCTTGACAAAACTAACCTGGCCGTTGGTCTCGAAAAGGCCCTCCAGTGGTTGACTGTGGCAGGAAATGTCTTGTAAACATTAATTCTTCCAAAACAAAACTGCCCTCATTTACCTACCATAGAGAACCCTCCCTGCCTCCTATAAGAATGGCTGATGCCCAACTCCACGAGAGCGCCTCCCTGTACTTGCTTGGTCTTGCGCCTTCCACTGACCTGAGGTGGAACAACTACATTGAATCAATAGCTTCATCCACCGCAAGTAAAGTTGGTTCTCTGTGTCGCACCAGAAGGCTTTTCTTGCCTGTGTCCATCCTTCAAATCTACAACTCTACCATTCGTTCTTGCATGGAATACTGTTGCCATATATGATCTGGTGCTCCCGCTATTCATCTCGAGGTTCTTGACAAAATCCAGAGACAGATATGCAATGTGATTGATCCAGATTTGGTATCTCGGCTACAGTCACTTTCTAACAGATGTGCTGTGGCTTCTCTCTGTCTTTTCTACAAATATTTTAATCGCAACTGCTCTGACGAGCTACATTCACCTGTACCCAAACTCTCTGTAACCCCTTGCGTGCTAGTGGAACTACCGCCTTGCTTGGGGTGATATGCTTATAAAAATATCTATATCTCCCTCTCTCATTCCATTCAACCCTCTCTATCTATCTGTCTATTTTACTAGGTTTCTGTCTCTCTTTTTCACATTCCATTTATATCTATCTATCTATCTATCTATCTATCTATTTATCTATCTATCTATCTATGGATACATTCTGTGTTTTAAATAAGAAATATTTATTGTATATTTTATTTATACATCGCTAACCCCGCCATTTTCAATAAATAGATTAACTCAACTGTCATATTTCAAATACTGTTCCAATGACACGTTCAAATTACGCGAAAAATCTCTTTAATTCTCTTTACGTCTTTGTTTATGTCCAAATTGTAGTTGAATATTAAAGTAAATAAATAAAATATTATTCAATATTGAATAATTAGGGTTCTTTTTTTTAAAGCCAATTTACAGCAGACGGTTTGGCCGTGGGTTCCAGATGCCGGTATCAGATTGAAGTCTGAAAAGCTGGCATCGATTAAAAGCAATTTATATGGCACGCGTGAAAGATAATAAAAAAAAATTAGATGAGAAATAATCACGGGTTTAATTGCATTTCTGTTAGATGATAGTTTTTGGTTTAGAAAATAAAATAAATCATTATACATAAGTCTATTTTCGTGAAAAATAATTGTGTTTTTTTCCCCAATAAACATACTTTTCAATAAAATCTGTGGTTGCATTGAGTTTTCGTTCGTTATGTCTACTGCATTTTCAAGCATTCAAAATAAAAAAAAAATATCGAGAGAAATTAACACAAAATAATGATATTAAAAAGTAATTATCATTGTAATTGTTAAGGATAGACGATTAATTTTATTAACTGATGTCTGTATCAAGAGTGCAGCATAATAAATTAAATAAATGGGTATAAGTTGCATAAAAAAAATAAATATACGAAATCTTGTGATTTTATTGTCAAATTCCATTCGGTGTAATGTTGAGGGAAGTTGTAGTGTGCACATGCCTTACGATTTGTTATGGGCTTGTTTGGATTTCTGTAGACATCACTGTTAATTATTCCTTATTGAAAAGTTTTGTTTTTCTCACGAATTCAATGAACCTCTCTGCACAAATTAGCTATGTCTGACATTCAACACACGTCTTCTAGGAAAGAATGAAACAGATTTCTCAGAAAATGCGTTTGATATAACGGATAAGATATTACAAGACAAAAAAAAAATAATAATGAGATTGCTATCCAAAAATGGTTGCTGGCATAGATGTGACTGCTAAAAAGAAATCTCCTGATCCGGTAATAGTAGCACATTTGAATATGTATCGAGACAGGCCGTGCCGCTGAGGATAGTTTTACTGAATATCCGTTTTTGTTTTCTAAGCTGAACACGTTTACAAAAATATATTATTTTTCTATTCATTATCTGCCCTTTTATGGTAAAGTTCCCTCAGTATGATGTTCAAGAGCCATTAATGTAAGATATAATAAATGAGGTGTGTGATATAAAAGTAAGAGAATGTAAAAGAAAGGGATGATTACGATGATAACGATTGAGCCTGGACTTCTGATAAATTGAAGCATCAGTTTGAGTAGAACTTTTTTATTATGATGGAATACAATGGAAATCTGTGTGATTCTACTCTGTGGCCGAGCATGACAGGTGTTTATCGTAAATGTTTGAACTGGCGGAACTCATTAGATGATCTTATCTAAACATTTACACTAGAAATGGTAGTGGAGAAGTGATGTGTCGTCTGTTGGAAAGAATTTGCCGAGTAGAAAATATGTCTTTCTCCAAAAGATTAAATAAATAATTTTGAACTATACTAAGACTTGAAAGTGAATATTGAGCCACTTTAGTTCATAGATGTTTAAGTAAATTACTCTCTCGAGTAATTTGTAACACCCTATTTATCATTTCTTATTTGCGTTTCTGTCTTTAGGCAGAGTGCACTCAGGAGTGACTCCGTCATAGAACAGAGTCGCAAATAAGGAAAATTATACTGAGAGGTGCCCAGCCCTGGGGAACAGCTGCCCGAGGCCGCGCAACCGACGGTTGCGGGGGTTGTGGGCAATTTTTGTTCCCTGCCCGGGTGTACGCGTTCGGATCCCCACCTTAAAAAAGACCTTGTGTCACAACTCGTCTTAGTGGGGGAGACAGAGTAAATACACAGTTCACAGATGTCAGCAAGACTCCCTTTTGGGCAAATCTGTCTCTTATACAGCTGAGGTCATACTTCCATGTAGGTAACCATACCACTGTGAACAAGTTTAGGGTCACATGGAAACTAAAATAGCACTCCCTAGTGTTCAGCTTTGAGAACAAAATCTGTATTCATCGAAGTGATAATGGATATTGTATGTTACTTAGCGATATTTCTCTACGACAAAACCTTTTAACTCTGGCATCATAATGTTATTTTCCAAGCATAAACCTCTCGGGTGACTTTGATGCTCGAATAAGGGTATCTATTTTTCAATTCATTCTCCTACAATTCATTGAAGAGGTAGTGAATGTATAGTCCCAGCAGAATAATTCCTGTCCAAAGGTTGCCCATGCTACTCAACTTCCATTTTAGGAGCAGAAAATTGATGTATATATCCAGAAGAATAATTCCTGTCCACAGGTTGCCCATGCTACTCAACTTCCATTTATGGAGCCGAAACTTGATGTATAGACCCAGCAGGATAATTCACGTTCTTATGATGTCCATGTTCTTCAGCTACCATTATAGTACGTTTAATACTAAATAAATTGAAATTCAATGCTTGCATTATTTTCACAAGGCTGTATTCAATGCTTGCATTATTTTCACAAGTATCTCCCTCTCTCTCTCTCTCTCTCTCTCTCTCTCTCTCTCTCTCTCTCTATATATATATATATATATATATATATATATATATATATATATAATTGTAATGATGGAATGTTCTCGAGCGAATGAGGAGACCTCCTCCCAGCCAAAATGTGAAGATTTTTTCATTCGGGTAGATTTTGGGGCGTGGGTTATGATAATGACCTATCAGCTCCCCTTCTGCATATATTCTCCTGTTTGTGTGGGTCTCCATAGACTGTAAATGCTTCAAACTGAAGACATATTCAATTCAGGAAAAAACACACAATTTTGACTTGAATTATCAATCGTTCTTATAACTTCGTTGTTTTTAATAAATCTTCCTGAACTGATTGGTCTCAGAAATTGCTTTCATAAATCGTCGTTCTCTTAAAATGTTGACAATATTCTAACAAAAATGCAATCATTATGTTATATTTATTAAGGCCTTCTCATTAAGATGCAAAATTAATTAACTTAATTAATTTTTTTCTCTTCTACGCGTAGGAAAATAATAAAATGTAGCTGTTGTTCTGAATTTAAAGCAACGCTTGATAATGAAGTTCTCGTGGAAATCACGAACAATGTTTTAATGTATATACTAAAAATAACATCTTTGTTCTAAGTTAACTATCAAGGCCCATAATAAAACATTAGTCTTCAAAATTTGATTACCGAACAGAAAAAATGGTCGGGAAGAGGATTTATCGATGCACTAAAATCAACCAAAAATGGCAGTAAATGTCAACAGAAAAAAAATCATGAAAAAATTACGATATTTGATGTTTCACCGGATTCGTTAGAGTACTTTAAATAATTATTGACATTATTACGATAGGGAAGAATTTACAAGGAAAACCTTGCAACTGAAAAACACTGTTTCTAACAATACCAAAAAATATGGTATGTACTAAAAATGCCATTTTGTTAATCATTTTACCTCAAGTAAGACAATAATCCCACTACGACGCAAAGAGTTACTGCGAATGAAGTAAAATGAGAAGGAACCGTTATCTTAAACAGGAATCAAGAGATGAACATCTAGACCTGCTCAAAATAAGTCAGGGAAAGAGTGTGAACCGGCCGACAGGTGGACCTATCAACTCCTATGGATTTATTAACCTTTTGATAATAAATATAAAATAGTGGTGTACTTTCGATGGTAAAAATAGCCTTGCTGTTTCTCAGGTCTGGAGTTCAATTTTAAGTGCTGTTTAAAATAATTCATTTTTCTGTGCATTAATTTTGGTCGATTTTAAGTGTCTCAAAATAAATCTTTATTTTGGAGATTTATTCATTAAAAAAATTGCAGCCAGTTTAAGGTATCATATCTTAATCAAAGACATCCTACAAAATGCGCCCTTCTGAGTCGAAAATCAACATGGCTATATCTGTAATTTCATATATATATATATATATATATATATATATATATATATATATATATATATACACACACACACAGAGGTATATCTTTCTCCTGCAGGATTCTAGAGACAGGATACTATCAAAACGTCTGGAAGTGCGTTTCAGTATGCATTAGCTCTGCTCACCTTTTTCTTTTACAATTGGAATGTCCTGTCACTCAAATCTCCAACCAGGACTGAAGAACCTAAGCTGCTCTCTTACTTTCCCTATTGGTAAGGAGAGGAGATTGATTTATGCCTTTCTGCATCATTACTGTGGAGTGAACTTAAAATTATCACAGCCGGAGATCGAAATCGGTTCGCTGAATCTATTTGTTCTCCTCTTCACTATTATGTCAGCAGCACCACTATCCAAGCTAAGATCCTTTGATTCAACATTTTTTGCGTGAATAAATTCTTCCTCCTTAACCCTTTGAGCTCTGATCGCCGCTTTATCGGTGCTAGAGAAAAATGACTTAATGCCCAGCCACTGTTGAACGTTGGGTAAACACTTGTAACTATTTTCATATCTATCGTGGAACATTACAAAACCAGACTCTCAGGCAGAAGGGTTAAAATTGTTCAGAATCTCAGAGCGCAAAGGTTTAAACCGCAGCAACCATTCTTTCTTACATCGAACAATTTTTCAAGTTTACTTCAGTTTATCTGTTTTGCAACATTTTCTATTCTTTAAATTTCCAAGCTACTTGAAAAATGAAATATTCGCACAGAAAAAAATATCGTTATGTTTTGTGCGTCATTTATTGTCATCACTGATTATGAACAAAGTCCTCTCTTTTGCAAATAAATTTCTTCACATTTAATCATGTTACCGAAAGCATATTTCAGTGTTGTTCTAGGATAAACCCAATCTGAAGAGTTAAAATGTTGAATAATTAAGAACACATCGAAATGACAAAAGTAAGCTTGAAAATTATAAGTTGCATGTTACTTGCAATGGA